TGGCATTAGAGCAGACTGTGCATCGCGATGCCCCCCAGCTGGACACGATATAATTAAATCTTACAAATATCAGATTTGATATCATCTCCAATCTTTCCCTATCCTTTCTCCATTCATCAGTAACTTACTGGCCTCCTATCCTTCTATTATATAAAGCGCTAACTTTGTGTGTCGGTTTGTGTATCTGTATGTGTGTGTGTGTGTGTGTGTGTGTGTGTGTGCGTGTGTATGTATGTATGTGTGTCCGTCCGCAAAATGAAGTGAGTGAGAAGGAAGCTCATGGGATAAACAAACCGCTAACAAATCGGGTAGCTTACAGGATTTGAGATATCAATGTTTTGTAGCAGGATAGTTGTGATAACACTCTTAGGGCTATATAAACACCTGCTTAGCACACTTCCGTTCATTCCACATGGTGCTGCAGTGGCAGCTGGAGGGCAGTGGAGAGAGGAAGGGAGGATGAGGAAGGGAAGCGAAAAATCTACCGTCATATCATGATTGTGTCCCTTCTACTGTATGAAACACCATTGTGTTGCATACGCGTCACTTCCGAGGTGTTGGTGTCACAGGAGGAAGGGACCATAGCGGAGGATAGAAAGCTTGCGCAGGAAAGGAAGGTCCCGGCGGTTGACGGGGGACTAATCTGGTAAAAAATTTAGAAGAAATATCAAAGTGAAGCACAACATCACACGTCAAATCAGAAGTCATAGCAATTAGATTCGACTCTGAAGAAGAGCTTCGACAGCATCGGCAATATATCGAGCTCGATCTCGTTGGAGGAAATGGCCGCTCTTCTCGAAATTTATCGACACCTGAAATAGCATCGACTCTGAATGAAGGCTCTTCGAATGACTTATAGACCACACTCATATATTTTTTCAACAACGATCTCAAATTTTCGGAATGCACTCTAGAGTATGAAGCAAAGGGGTCGGCCGACCACTCAACTTGTCATACGCATGCTCCGGCCCTTACTGGTCAGAGATGTGTGGAAGTGTACTTTGCTTCGACAGTGTACACTTGTTGAAAGGATACGATCTTGAATAGGTGGCTTTGCTTCTCTGGACAGATTTGGCATTCTTAGGGAGACTACAAATTGTGGAGACGTGTTCAATCTGCTTGAAGCAACACCCCCAGCATGAGTCGTGTCGAAGCATCTATCCAGTGGGTGGGAAGAGTAACCCACGAGTAGCGCAGATGTGCCGTAGTCGCTGCTCGATCAGCACTTAGGCGACTAATCTTAGCATTTGGACGAGTTACGTCGCGCACACCCCACGATACGCGTGTGGACTACGGAGCAGCGGCCAATTCAAATACGCACGGGTTAGCTGAGCCGTAGAGCAGATAAGTTCTACAACTCGTACAGCCCCGCCCCTTCCTTTTTCGAGGGGTAATTTTGTTTTAGACTTGATCGACGGTGTTCTTTGCTTCTTTTTCATTTTAGTCAATTCCGCATCCAAAAAAAAAAAAAAACCTTCAATAATCAATCGCTGTGGCCCCACAAATTTGATCTAAGGGCGTTGGGCCTGCCCCCAGATCAAATTTGTGCGCGTTTCGGCGCTTCCAGAATCACTTGTCAGTCTGAACAGCAATAAAATAATCTGCAACTCCAACAACAACAGTTCCAACAGAAAGAATGTCAACGTACCGCTTTGGCTCCATTTGAAAGCAATTCACGTGTTTGCCGCACGGCTTCCTCTTCAGAAATCTCATCGTTGTCCTTACAACGCTAAAAAAAGCAAAGCCTCTTTGATGCATCGCCAATTGACAGCAAAGAAGGGGGGTCCCGAGCAATGCCAGCGCCTTACTGCTCGCATGGATCCAAAAGTGAACGTATCGCAAATAGCTCTTGCGTACGGACCAAGTCCATTTATTTCGCCAAAGGGTAACTGGTGGTACACTATTGGTCGATGATGAGAGGACAAAAACCCAGCCTTGACCGTAAGCTATTGTATGAATAGAAGTATTCAGATGCCATTATTACTGTTATGTCCATAATGAAGAGGATGCGTGGCGCATCCTAGGTATCGATCAGGAACTTTGATGAGTACAATTCATGAAGCCATTCAGCACTCAATTTGTAGAAGCAACAGCCCCTTTTTGAATCCAATAACTTACTAGTTAAACTGACAAAATTCAGCTTTGCTGAGATATCCCAATTCATCGCTGAATCCAGCTGCGCCCCGCGGGCACATTGTTATTGAGCCGTTCTGTCGCGGTTCGCGACTGTGGTCCCGGGCGCACCGCGCGCTTGGGCACTGCTGTGCAGCAGGCGCCGTGGCGTTGCATGCACCGACTATAGGGGCATGCTCCGCCTCCGGTCCCGCCTCCAGCCGGGACTACTTAAGCGAGCCGCCTCTGCCAGTCGGCGCACTTCGCTCCCTCCGGGAGGAGCGTTGTGCCGGGCAACGCTAGGAAGCTGGACGGCTCGGAGTGCCACTGGCACTCGGCAGTATGGTCCGGCATACTGTCCCGTCCTGTCGGAGCGCTGGCAAGCCAGCGTCCGCTACACCGGATGGACGCTGCCGGCTGCAGGCGCCAGCAGTGCGCCACTTACCGCACGACGACCCGATGGATGGACGACGCGATGGCTTGGTACCTCCAAGCCCGGCAGAGGATGAGAAGAATAGGTCGTCAACTTGTTGCCGCCAATATCCGCCAATAAATGTGAGTATGTTTAATTGTAGTTGTTGTAGTAGGGTTGTAGTTTGGGGAGCGCCAGGGCAGGGGCCCGACTAAGGCGCAGTAGTTGTTGTGTGCTGCTGTTGCAGCGGGGTTGTAGCCGGGGCAGGGGAACCCTCGGCTCCAGAGCTGGGAAAGCCTGGGGCCGACGGTGGGCCTTGCCCCCGCGGGTTGTACTCCTTAAACCCCCTTCCTGGGTTAGGAACCCGTGATGCCCCGGGGAGCGGAGGCCATGCTGGGAGGGAAACCAGCGTGGTCCCCGGGAAGGACCCGTAGGATGACGTGTGCCTGGGAAAGGCCGCGAGGGCCCCGAACCACCTCGATGCGTCGTGTTGGAGGGTTAGGAGGGCGACCGCTCCCGAACCACGACACAGTGCTAATGTTTTGAAAGTACGGGAGCCAATAGCGGTAGAGCCTTATTATGATTGCTTCGTTCGCTTTCATTTATGTCATTCGCAACATGCTGGATGTCTGTGCCTTCTCAAAACGACAGTGCTCTGTGGCGTAAATCCTCTCCTTATGGGGCGCTGTGGGCTCTCCCCTATTCAACGATTCGACCACAAAAAGGCCTTTGACCCAGGGTTTTTCCCCTCGTCTCCCTTTCACATTTTCGATATGCCTGTGCAGATCCTTTGCTTCTTTCTGAGCTCTTGCTTCGCGGATCATTATTCATTCAGCCTGGAACCAATTTAAGCACTAGAGTGAATGAAATACTGGTTTAGGCTATGGAAACCTTCGACAGCTTGGTCGAGATTGAGCCAGGATCAAGCGCTTATACGCACCATTCGTAGGAGGAGGTCGCATTCGCAATTTTGAAATGGGGGTCCCCGTTTTGGGGATGAGAAAGGTACATAACTATCTTGAAGAAAGTTCGACGAGTCTGTCGAAAGTTTAATCGAAGACTTTTTTGAAGGCTATGAAAGCAGGGGGAGTAGGCATAATGGATTCATCGCTTCATGTTACCAGTGACCTTCCCCTCCCTGCCTCCCTCCCCCCCCCCCCCACTCGACGCCCCTTTCGGCGTTTTGGAGGCAAAAGTGGGCGGCGTTGGGCTGTGACGTCCGGTCTCAGAATTAATATACTACAGAAAGAAAAAGCAAAATCATCAGCATCAATCAAATACAGGCATGATGGTGGGTGCATCGGTCAGGGTAAGGGGAAGAGGGTCGTATTGGGGAGCTCATGGGGCAGATTAGCTGTGGTTGGCGTTTGCGTCGACATCCCCTAGAGGGGAACGGTCCGAAAAATGTTTGGTAAAGTGCAAATGCGACGGCTGACCCTGATTTTCGGCCCTGGAAGTGTGACGCGGTGCCACGTTGGCACTATGCTATGGACGCCCATAGAGTAACCCATGGTAACGTAAAACAAGAAGCAACACTTCCACTCACCAGTTCTTTATGACCTTTGAACGAATTCGCGAGCTCTCGGGAAATACTCGTCTCAATGAGGAAATCCTTGCCAGAATACGCCATAAGCACGCGGGTCTCTACAATGAAATCACCTGACGCACCTGCACAGCAGCAATTTGAGTACAACAATTAGTTCACAACTTACATCGGGGCTTTGATTAATACAGTCTATATTAGGTTGTAAGCCTTTTGCGAGTTCAAGGTGAGACATCGTTCGAACACACATCATTGCCCGTTCACCAGAATCAACGTAATAGACCAATGATATTGTTGTAAACTGAAATTTTTTTCAGAAAATAAGCTCAATAAAGCTCTATGGAAATATCCACCGGCAGCCTATTTGTCAAACATTGTTTTTTCCTCCAGTAGAGTCCTTTTACCACAGAAAAGGATAGAGTATTCGGTGTTTATCAAGTTCCTTTCTAAAAGTTTCATTTTCTTTCCTTTCTTCTTCTGCCATGCATCCTATTATATTTCCATTCCGAATGGTAGTGATGCTTGACGCAATTCGGCTTTATACAACCAATTGCGCGACCGAGACTAATCCATCCATCAAGCGAATTCGGAGGAATGTGAGCTTGGTGGCTCTAGACGGTGAATGATCCAAGAATCGATCCCCAGAACTGCGTAGTAACGAGCACTTCTCACCATTGTCAACCGTTCACAGATCGCAGTTTTTTCCAAAATTTTGCGACCCTCCCGCCACCATCAGTCAGAAGCTCTCTCAATGCGACATCCCTTCCCCCTTCTCCGACCACCACCCTTACCATCATGGCTGTTTCCATAATATTTGCTTCTGAGACCAGCCGACACAGCCCAACCCCGCCCACTTTTTTCCTCCAAAACGGCTGTCAAGCGGGGCAGGGGGAGCGTGTAAAATGGCAAGTTGTTACCATGAAGCAACAATTTCCACCAATTTTACCTAGTTCACACTACTGTTGGAGCGACAATTCCACCAAATTTGCCACTTTCGTGACACATCTCTCGTCAAGAGATCTTTCCAAACACAACTCCTTTTAAAACGACTCCATCTTCCTCCGTTCCCACTACGATAACCTTGCTCAACCCCCAAAATGCGACCCCTGGTTCGAATAGAGCGAACGGACGATTGACCGTGCTTACCTCTACACCACTTATGCGATCATTATCGATAAAAAAAATCGTAAAAAAAAACAAACATCGAGAAACTTACAAAATTTCAGAAGTGGATGCAATATTTTCCTGGCTATGGATCCAAGTGAATCCAGCCATAGCAGAAACCTGATCACCCAAAAAGGCCGCAATCCTCGATGAAGGCGAAGGCCAGTGGGGTTCACCAGCATTAGGCCGGTTAGTTTGTCCTGGAAGTACGCACACACATCAATATTGACAATCATTTAACTTTGCTGTAATAGAAAAGGAGCTGGGTTGTGATATAAGGAACAAGGAAACGCCTGTGTGTAATCTTTTTGCTATTTTTACTACGCACTCACACCGTTCGAGGGTCAAGCGATAGACTTATTTAGTAGAATTTTGTATTGTATTTGATATTGATGCTTATTTTGACTGATCAGCGATCTTAATGTTGGATGCGGACGTAACCGACCATTCGGAATCGCTCGGATACACAATTTTGAAAGGATACCTTTATAGCTGTTGAGCAAGACATTGGTTTTCATCTTGCAGAGAAGCCCGATAGGATACAGGGCGCAGCTGGATTGGCAAATTTCGTCAACCAACATTAAGCAACGCGGCTTGTAAAAGCGCCGATTGCCTGCGCAGTCTGCACCCTTACCTTCACTATCCCACACAATATTTTCTGGAGCCACACCCTTGAAGCGCAGAACGATTGTCTACATGAGTTTATTCATGAACTCCACAGGCTCCAAACCTGCTGAAAAAATTAAGGGTGAAGCTTTCAGTGTTTATAGGTCATGCATACTTGGTCATGCATTCTGTTTCCGCTTCCAGACGTAGAAGGCAATGGGACTGCGCTATGGCTGCCGGAAGGACTCGGCTTGTGGGGGTCAGCCCCATCACAATCACTGTTTGTGACCCTAAACAAATCGGTACCATTCGACTCCAAGGATGGAATTTTGGTCGAGATTCGATCCAAATTTTCATTTCCCGACCCCCGACCTTTGCGTAGAGATGAAGTCGCGCTTCTTGGCCATTACACACCTCCGTCCCCTATTACGTCTGATCGCAAACGGTCAACCTGCCATTTAACGACAGCATCACCTTAAGTGTTGAAGACAATGAGGCCACAAAAGTTCCCAGCTCTGTGAGAAGTTTTCTTCTTGCTTTTCGATATTCCATTTTCGCTGAGGCGATAAATAGCTGAACTTACTACGTTCCTGGCAGCCACAGCTGTCGCATTTTCACATCCTCTGCTATGTCCCATCACCACCAATCGTCCGACATTGCCGATTCTGGCAATCAGTTCATCCACAAAATTGTTACGTTCCGTATTATCGCATCGTAGCCGAGAGTCACCTTCAAAAAGTTATGAAATAAATCTACAATCTAAAATAACTGATACTGGTAGTTGACGGTACACTCTATGATTATCGGTGTGGAGTTACGCTAGAAGAAAGGATGAGGCGAACAAATGGACTTGGCCTTTTACAAGAAGAAAGGAAGGCTAATAGGACACTAATTACGGAGTTCTTTTTTGAATGGTGCCATAACGAAGTTTAGACCAGATAGACAGACGCTAGACCTAAAAGTACGTTTGTGCCCGAAAGCGAAGACGCAGACCCGGAGGCGAGGGAAACACAGAGGTACACCAGCGAGACGCAGGAACCGAGCGGCATTCGCAATAATGGGCGTCTTCTGTGTCTGCAGTCCGGTGTTATAAGCCATGAAAGTAACCTTGTGGTTCTTGCGGACTTCCAGCCACATCACAAAAGTGGTTGCTTTGAAGAGTTTTCGAGGAATGTGACTACAAAAAATCGTTACCGAAACTTATTTAATGGCCATATTAAGCCCGTGTTTCTCTGAATGCTCTCCTTTTATCCAAAATAAGTCCCTTACTTCCTTATGGCCAGTTTTTTTTGCATATAAGTATTTCCTTTGATCTGCTTGTTTCAACATAGCTTGCTGGTCTGCTCCGGACAAAAAAATCTTCGTTTTCCGACGTTATTGTGGACCTTCTCCGAGCTGACATCACTGATTATTCAAGAAGCTAAAAATCACCGAGATTATAATGCGCACAATGTAGCGGGCTCCTCCTCCGATTGTGTCCACTCAGCTCCGTTAAGCGAAGGATTCTTCAGCAGCAGCTTCATCAGATAATACAGAAACTGGGAGTTTTTCTTCGTTCGGTGTGCTACACGATCAAGGAGGAGCTCGTCTTCAGTCTTCTCGGGGACTATCGGGTGCCTCATCGCGATACCGGATCCCTTCTGGCGCCTCAGCAAGACCAGATTAGCCCTTAGTCAGTCCAGCAATATAGGAGCGTGGCTGATTATTATTCTATACATTTGTAATGAATATTCGTGCTACTCATGTATAATGTCGTCTGGTTCAGGTCTGCGTGGTTGGGGAGCACGGTAGAGATTAGAGTTTCACCACACATTTGGGAGATGCAGTCTCTACCCACATCTTAGTGGGTCAGTATTTTTTCCGCTGCAGTCTCAGACCGGGCGGCGTCCCCAACGCTGTGTACTCATAGAATTTTCTGGACGGAAGTCGTTTTCTTACACATCCCTCTTAAAGGAATCCTCCACGGAAAAAGCTCCGCCCTCATTACCACAGAAAACGATACCTTAAAGGAATCTTCCACGGAAAGAGTGATCATTTTGTCTTGTGTGTAGGATTAGTATTATCGAAACTAACGCTTATGTTCCGTTCTTTTTGCTATGCTCATGAGGCTAGGGGTTAAAGGAATCTTGCGCGGAAAATTCTTGCACTCTTTCCTAACATGAATATGTCAGTTGTGATCACTGGAAATAGCACACAAAGTTTCACGCATGAAGATTCGGTTTCTGAAGAGAAACAAACGTACAAAAACTACACGTTATGGACCATCGAAGGACCAGGAGGCAGAGCCAGGCGAGGCATGGAAAGAAGACGGCGTTTGGCCAGGCGACGCAATGAGAGAATCGGGTTAAAGCGCGCGATTTCGGAGAGTGGAGACAAATCGATCGATGGAATAGGATGGAGTAG